AGCAGCTGATTAAACAAATTAGAGGATAAACGACTGACATTCTTTTATTCTCAAATGCTAGGATAATTATTTCTTTATCTACAGAAGCACGACTTAGAAAACCCTTGCAGATCAGTAACACGAGTTACACACACGCACACGCACACACACAAAACTAACAACAGATAGCTTTACTGAATTACTTGTGATTTCCGGTACTTCTTTGGCCACATGCAGCTCGGCGTTTGGTTTAATTTTGCGTTTCACCTTTCGCTTTCTGCATTCCGAATCCAGCAGAATGATTGTGAGCACTGAGTGGGGATAAAAGAGAACAGTACAGAATGGAGAAAGTCAAATTTTCTCAATAATTCATGTTGTAAAATCATTAATAGGATACCTAATGAAAATAGACATTTGTAACACTTAAGGCTCAGAGTGATATCTCGCCGTTTAGGGAACGTTTCTTGGGGGTTCAAGTTGAGTGCCAGGCAGTGCGGGACCACATAGCCGTTTACCACGTCATGAACTGAAAAAGAATATGAGGTATATCGAACTATAAAATGATTAAGTCCTGAAACTTGAGCTTTTCTGGAGAAACAGTATGATAAAAGATGTGATAGTTTGGGTTTAAAAATGTTGTAATTTGCAGATATCTGCACACCAAAATATAATAATAATAAGTGTAAGTGACTTTAGTAATCACAATTATCAAACTCTCACGTTCGCTGTGGACTCTGATCTGAATAGATTCACAGATTTAGTCCAATCGGAACAACCAGAAACGAAAATAGATATCAGCGGACTGAAAACTAGACTAGACCAGGCGGTGACCACTGATTGATTCAATTCAATTGTTCATTCGCTCTATCCCGAAACATGACTGAATCATATTGGAAGGATGTTTTGACCCCATCTGCGGACGTCTCTCCGAGACCCAAATGGTTATCATGCCTCTTGCTTTGGTTTGCTTGGGACACATGATCATCACACGACGGTTGGTGCGCGCTCTCTCTCTCTGTATGTGTTTGTATGAGTCGTAAACCTTTGCATCGTGTTCCGTTTCAAAGTTTTGGTCTCGGGACTATTGTTTCATACAACATAGACCTTAATCTTGATAGTTTAATCGTAAAACTGACCGAATACGGGAAATTGAACACCAAGACCAACATTATGCGAATGCTTTTCAACAAGGGGAGGGGAAGACAGAAGTGAATGATAGATTATTTGAAGTTTATCAGTGAGGTTGATGAAGCCACTGTGTGTGGATTCGAAAGCGTATCGGTGTAAAACTAAAAGGAAACGATATAAAGTACGGTTGGACATATAAACAAACAAACGGAGGAACAAGTGAACAGACACCTTCCTCAGTAAAATTCTCGTGGCGCGGCCTTTGAATTCGAACCTATTTTGTAACCAGCCGTTATTATTTCGTAAAGTTACAATGAAGAAACGCTCGCTTGTAAAAATATCAGTGTCTGAGAAATCGCATCAGACGATCACGACAGTGTGTTCAAGGGCACCATTATAAACACTGTGTTCGTTGGCGCGTCACCTTCAAGCAGAATCCCGTTGACGGTTCGACCGTCCCGTCTATGATCTCAAGTAACACTTGTTTGTTCATGGGAAAACTCGATGACGTCAAGACGATAGTACACTAGATGAATATAGGGGAATTCTACCCCAAGAAAGTTGAATAATTCCCGAGATTGAAGACGAACTCGTAAATCTTCTCGAGTTTGACATCTCTCGGGATGATCGAAAGTTGAACTTCCTTCATGAAGGTGGCGGAGTAGTCACTTTCGTCAACAGAAAATGGTGTAAAAAGGCTCATTAATTTTTGTCAGTACAGTATTTTTGTTTACTGTAAGCTTGGATTTCTCAGTCCTTTTCATCACATTACACTAGATAATATTTACATTGCTGCGACACGCTTGACTCTGATATTCGTCTGAATAAAGAACACAGCCGAACAGTGTTTCACAATTTATTTCCGGAAAATGTTTGCTATATCCCTTCAGGTACATACTACAGTCAGAGAATATAATGAAAAATAGCAAGTACCACGAATGAGCTGTTGGTGTTAACTGCATTCATCTTCCTACCAAAGTAGGGCTAGAGTTACCAATAACTCCTGCTTGCACAGTTCAGGCTTCCATTGTTTCATAGCAATCACCTCTGCAAACTGGAACAACCGAGAGTTTTGCTTGATGGGACACTTAAATTCTGTGGTCACGTTCACTGGTCCGAGTTGCTCGTGTCCGGGAAAACAGGATTAATCAAATGTTCATCGACTTCATTGAGTGTCCAATAGTATCTTCTCTGCTCTGGTAAAATGTAGTTATTTTCAGTTGTTTGTGCATTTCACAGTTGGACGCTTTACAAACACCCATTCATCAAAAGCACGATTAAAATGAACTGCCAGTGTTCGAACACCGCCGTCTACGCAGCATTGCACGAATCCCGTGGGATAACCGAACGAGCAATGCTGAGCTTATGCGCAGAGCTTCATGTAATCGAGGTGGTTCACTGGATCAAGTGGTCGATCTCCGTAGCTAATGCTGGTTGGGGCATGTGTTACGCATGCCACCAAATAGATTGCCACGGCGCGTGCATCGGTAAGTAATGGTTGCAAAACATCAGGAGTGGTAAAAATAAGACCAGGAGACTCGATCGTATAGATCGTGTTAGACTCCCTGGATGCTGTTGTGGTCGGCAGTCAAGCGATGTGCCCATCACGTGATTGACCGTTGCGGCCCAGCACCACACGTACCTACGCACCTCATGCGGACTTACTCTATTACAAGGTCGATCCGCCTCAGCGAATCGGAGGTCAGTATTGACCTGTCCTCATTGATTGATTCGTTGACTGTCCTTTTGGTAACATTTGCACCAGTTTTTGCCTGATTGTCTGCGTGTTGATGCACTGCTTGCTCACCAGCTTATGGACCGGCTACGTTTGCATTCACATACTGGAAATATAATAACTACTTAATTCACTACTTGCGTATTTATTGACTTATACGGGATACAACAGATGCAGACCTTGAGATTGTGGTAACCGGTGGTTAGAAAATCTGAGTAACATGACTGAGTTTCGCAGACAGTGGTGTTCTCGATTTCTTTGCAACCTTCATCACCTGAACTGCTCTATTTTCTAATCGGCTCTACTTCAACTTTTCTGTCTTTCTGCTAATGCTTGATTCGAAAAGGGTAGCTTAAAGTCAGCAACCAAAACCGGTGCACGGAAGTTCATGGTTGTATGGTTGTACAAACCGAACTGAACTATCATTCTCCATGTTGGGTTCCAGGTCCGATAGGCTCACCAGAAACTGTGTACGGTTACTGAGTAAATGCACTTCAAAATAGTGTGTGTCTACGTCTTCGCCGACCTGCATCTGTTCGGTTCTTCACTTCACTTCACTTCACTCTGTGCTTGTGATTGATAAAGAAATGTTTTCTAGCCCACAACTATTGAGGTCATGTTTATGTGCTCACTATCACTGTCTCATGTAATAAAAGCATATGTCCGAATTCCGGGTGTCTGCAGTTCAACATTATTACCGGTGATAGCCATGACGAGTAAGACTCGCGGATGCACATGACTTTTTATTGCATGGAGGTATGCTTGACATAGAGACGTTGACTGACATAAACACTTGATCGATCGATCACTTACCATCACAGCCGTGAAAGTTTGGAGCATTCCCTGTCAAACAGCAAGACACTAAGTAGAGTGTGTAGTAAGTCACTACCGGACTGAATTTGTGTCTGGCACGATCAACAGTGACAGCACCGGTTAAACGCACATAGATAACTTCAAGAGTTATGTATGTTAGTTTTGATTTAGTCACTGACCTGACCTGACCTAAACTGAACTGATCAGACCGATATACACAGTTATAGAAAAGGTGTCAACCCACCGGATGTCAACAGGAATTTCTCGGAGCTGATTTGACCTTGACCGAACGAGAAGTACATACAAATAAAAATGATGAAAACCGGTTACATGGACAGCACTTCAAAGCTTGGAGCCTAATTTACACAGATCGAATGCGATAAAGCACAGCACACGTGAAGCCAAACTAGTAAACCGAGTGTCTGGTTTAGTCAGGACATAGAAGAACCGAAATCCAATGCTTTCGGAATTATTTTCAGAAACATCACAGATTTTTAATAAGATTCCACGAAAAAAGATTTTAAGTAACATAACACGATGCTGTCATCCAAACGTTTATTTATAGATCTGACAGGATAAGAAGTATTTCTGAGCATGTGATAAAGTTCCAGATCGGTAAGGACAAATTGGTCATTAGACCGTCTATATTGCCCGGTTTCAGATCCCGATCAACAAGACGATCTG